GGAATAACATTTTCTTGTCACCAGTTCTCTTGCTTCATGATGGTAGTTATAGGATTAGCTAACACACATGGCGGCAGTCTTTTACTGGTACTTTTTGTTCCCAGAGTCCTCTGGATGAGTCCTTGACTATAATGGTCAAGGGTATGGCCGAATAGCGTTTAACATGAAGACGAAACAATACATTTACCCAAATGTTGCACTCATTTGCACTGTTATGCAGCTGTCCTGATAGTCAGGAATAGCAGTGGCTTGGGAGGAAATGTCTTATCTGTTATACCAGTACACCACTGTTGTGGATAGCTATAACAATGTAAAAACTCACCTGTTTTGATCAGTCCCAGAAAAATAACCATGCTCCATCCTCCTTACCTGAAGGCATAATGAGCTATTTGTTTGGCATAAAGGAATTTCTGCCTTACAGTAAAGCAGCTCATTTATGCCGTCAAAATAGTTTAAAAGGGCTGTTGAACATTGATGGAAGGCAGAAAGTATGAAAAAAATTACTGTATTGAAAAATAGAAACTTAGAGGACCTTACATGTTGGTACCTGCTTTATTTCTTTCTTTGATATAAAGATAACTCTCTAAATACGAGGTAGCGTGTACTTTCCCACTTTGGTGTGCTTTCTGCATTCGGTATCGGTTGTCTTGAGCTGCATACAGCTAACATTGTTTTCTGTGGATGCTTGCTTTCTACTTTAGGAATAATTAATCCAAAATTTAATTAAAAAAAAATCACTTTCCCAAACACGGTATTTCTTCATATTCTCATTTGCTGTATTTAGACTAATTTGTCTTGACATTGCAGCTGTGCTGTTCTTTGTGTTGCACAATCTTTTGAGTTTTGTTTCATTAAGAATGGAACTAAAGAATTTGGGGAAGGGGAGGGAAGAAGTGCTAGACTGTTAGAAGTTAATTTGCCGTAAACCAAAATGTTGAGAACAGATTAAGAAAGCTATGAAGTGACATGTAAATGCTTGTTCAGTTTCACACTTGTGAGAAATAAGTCATTAAAGCTGTGTGCACATGAAATACATGTTTGGTTACAGCTACTGGGAATAGTTTGTTCTTACTGGTATATTCAGAAACATAGAGGAAAATGCTTAGAAGATTAGCAATTGATCTCTAGGCTCCAAAAAACTTAAAGATTAGCTTGAAAAACTGTCTTTCTGTTCAGAACAGCTTCATATGTTCTATTTTACCTAGTTGCTGTATCTAAACTATACTGCAGGTTAGAAAACACGTTTGCAGGGGTTTTTAATGTCTTCTAAAAAAGAAAAAGAAAGAAAAAGCTAATTCTGAGTGAGACAGTGCTTAACTTAAATTTCTTTATGTTGAACACTGCATAACTTCCCTGATTCCTCACCCTGATGCATCACAACACAATTCCTTTCATCCACTATATTCTACTTACTGGTTTCCCCCCAGTGTTGAAAAGTGTGTTATGTTTGTCATTAATAAAAGGCCCAGCTCTGACATTAAGTACTTAAATGTTTTGGTTAAATGTCTTCCTCTGCAGCTGTGAGAGCTAAAACTGAAACTTAAAGGATCAAACCAGAAGGCAGATAGTTTGATTAAATCACTTGAGTTGATTTGAATTATTTTGGGGGCCTGGTTCATGACCTCTAATGTCATGGACAATACCACATGTCTTGCTTGGTATCTTCTAATACTTTTTTTTTTTTTTATGGAGGATTAGCATGTCCATGCATCACCTCGGAAGACTAATGTGGGCTGTGCTACCTGTTCAGACAAACTCCAGATGGGAAGGCCACCCAAGAGGCATCTTGCCCCTGAACCAGTCAAACTCTTAACTAGTTTTGCAGCAGCACAACGAGCACACAGAAGACTTCAGGTCTGGTAGGCAGATGTAGCTGAAGCTGAAAGAAACTAGAAACAAGAAACTAGGTTCATCTGGTTTATGTAACAAGCAGAAAAACTGGGGACCAGAGTATGAAGGAAGCTGCTTTGATCAAGGAAGTGGGCTGTGCCAGAAGCTCAGTAAGAACACTGATTTATTTGGGGATTGCTTATACCACGAAAGAGAATAACTTCACTTTGGGATTGTTTTTCCCAGCAAGAGGAAGCTGGGAGGAGCAGTGGGCAAGCCTTTACTCTGAGGCTGGAAATGTGTCCTCCCCTAGGGTGTGTCTGCCTCTGACAGTGCTTGTTTTGAAGTACTGGCTCCCGGCTGTAGCAGATGGCTGGAGGATGGCAGCACCCGAGATGACTTTCTCTGACATCCGTTTAGATGAGATGTTGATAGTTTACTGCTAAGTTTTGTACATATGATAGCTGTGCTGTCTTTATAGACTGCCTCCACTTCAGGTTTTCAGTGGATTTGTGGCATAATGTCCTATGACAAAGTACGGGGGCCTGCTGTGAAGGGGCTGTTTCAGAACACTGAGGTCTCACGCAAAGATTTCCATGCACTGCTAATTGTCTTCAGAGCAGAGTAGCAGTGTTTTTTCCTGTGTGGCTGTAAATGGCCTTTTAAGAGATGACTTAAGTGCAGTGACTGTAGTTCTGATGGTGGCAGTTGTTCGGTTTGCACTTGAGTTGATGAAGACATCACCCAAAAGTGTCCTTAACAGGGTTTATTGGTCATGTACCAATTTCCTCTTGAGTGAAAAAGGGTTACTTAAGCCACAAGCTCTGAAAACTCAGTCTTTGCAATGTTTATGCTTATGCTTCAGAGGAGTATAGCATGGTTAAGACTGAGCTTTCTGAAATAACCAGAGCAACTTCAGGGCAGTATATTTCCCATGTCTATATATATGCTTGTGAAAATTCTCTTCTTCAGCCATAGATAAATATAGACATTTATGGACACCTAGTTAAAGTTCATCATACTCAAACCAAAACAGTGGTATAGTAAAGCCAATATAAAAGCCAGTCCAACTAAGCTTGGTGCACTTGCCTTGAAAGTGTTAGGAGAAAGAATCTATTGCTTCTTCTTTCCCTTCTTTCTCCCTTCATTTCTGTAGTTGCTGTGGTTTTCAGCCAGAACTTCAGTCTGCATTATCAAGCTTTCTGGCAATGTGAGGTGGCAATCAGTCATTCCAATGTGATGTGGACAGATAACTAAGACATAAGTGGAAACTGCTGATGGAGCTGACTAATGCTCCAGAGGGGAGTAATTTGTTAGCAGGACTGAGTTGGGAGCGTGGATCTCTTACAGGGGTGGTGTGGAGGATCAGGGCTAGTGTCCCCACCTTCGGTGTTGGGGTATATAAGGTGGGCTACACACTGTAAAACTTCAGTGCCATCCAAGCAAAGCCTCTTACCTTTTCACATGGCGCTACCCTGTGATGACTGGGCTTTGTTGCCATGCGTCATGGGAAGAGAGGCTGAAACTTTGTGTGCCTGGCACAGATTAGTTTAACAGAGAGCTAAATTCTTGTCCAAGGTTCTATATAAGAGGTTTAGAGATCCCTGCCATGAGGAAAGAAACAAATGTAAGGCAGCTTGCTCTCAGATTATTTTTTATAATTAGCTTTGTTATGCAGTTATGACAGAATCTAAGAGTTGTATGAATCAACAGTAGAAAAGGCAAGGAGTCAGGAGGTCTGTTAATCTTCTATCATCTGCCAGCTGTCCAGTGAAAACACTCTTTTGTGTGGTGTTAGGAGGTCTGGATTAGTCATTTAACACCTGCAGGCAAAAATGTTGTACAAGAACATGTGAAAATCATTAGAGCAAAACTGTCCTGACGTCTGTGATTGGAAAATGTAGACAGCATAAGAATGGAATTAGATGGATTCAGCTGTAGCTTGCACGTCTTTTTAAGAATGCAGCTGACACGACTCAGACCAACAATTAAGCAAGTAGCAAATACTTAAGGGGCATTTGTGTGCTCTAAGTTCATATCCAAATTACATTGGAAGACCAGGTTTCCGGAAGGATTAAGCATTCACAGTACTGGGTGATTTAGAATAGAATAGCTCTGTAATTAATAGATTTATATATTAACTAGGCATGTTTGTGATTAAAAAGCATTGTCTGAAGTTCTATGGCCGTTTAAAAGTGATCTCATATGGTACGCTGACAACCTAGGAGCTGAAGTAAATCATAACTACACATAGCGTTTTACTACTTCATTGATTTTTTTAGCATTTATGGTGCTCTGCTTAATACTTATTTAAAAAAGTCAGCTTCAGAAAACAGATATGACAAAGGTGGGTATTCTAGCAGAGGTGATCTAGCAAATGCCTTCAATTTATTGCTTAAAACATAATTTTTCAAAGTTGTTAACTCTGACTTGGGTTTTTAAACAGAAATTTTGTTATAATCAAAGCATAAAAATTGGAGGTTAAAATCAAAGTCTCGTCTTCAGACTTGCTTTTGTTTTAAGTATTTTGCTTTATTTTGAAACTCTTAAGGAATTGATCTTGTCTTTTTAGTTAGAGCAATGCTTATGGATACTAATAAAGATGGAAAGTGATTTAACAGATGTTTACTGTATTTTATATGTAAAAAGTAACATCAGCAAAAACTCTGCCTTCAGTTTTCTTTTAATGTAAAATGCCCAAGATGATAAGTTAATTGGATAAAACTAACCATATCTAACTTCCAAAACACACTGTCAATAATTAGAACTGATAATCGGCACTGGTCTTAACACAGATGTGCTGGATGGCGTGATTAAACACTTTGCATTCCTTTTTCTGTCTTAAAAAAAAAAAAGTGACTTCCATTTTAGGTTCAAATTATCTCCTTCTGATAACTAGTCTCTTACAGAAAAATAAACATGTCTGAGCTCAATTGATCCTTTAACCTTAGGATTTCTGGAGATATAATCCTTGCTGCCTTGCTGTCTGAATTCACAAACAAGCTGTAGATTTTCTGTTGGCATTTTTAACAAATTCAGGAGTTCAAAACCTGTACAGTGATCTTACTTCTAAATTCCTGATGATAAACTGAGATAAAGGTTTTGAACGCTTATCACTAGTGTAGTGTGTTCATGGTGTGGTTTTTTATTTTTGTGTTTTGTTTTGGTTTTTTGTAGACCACTAAAGCATTCCTTCCCAAGATGCTGGAAATGAATCATGGACATATTGTGACGGTTGCAAGTTCCTTGGGATTGTTCAGTACTGCTGGAGTGGAGGTTTGTTAGACTGAAATTAACAATAAATTTGTCACTTCTTGCTTAGGATGAGCTTTTTTGTGTTATCAGGTAGAGAAAATAAAATCAAATCTTCAAAGATAACCTGGAAGTTATGGTGTTGAGTACCATATCAACACATGGCTCCCTGTGAGTGGGGATCTGCAGGACTCTGGCAGCCACCATATTCACCTACTTTGCAGATGGACTTGCCACTTAGAGTGAAAACCTAGGATGGCTAAGGATTTCAGGAGGCTAAATGATCTTTGAATTACCTGATAAATGTAGGAACCTGAAAGATGCCCACTTACCTACTCCTGTCAAAATTTTCAGTGCTAAGCTTGAAGCCAAAGGCACGATTTTCAAAAGTGATGTTTTCTGTTTCCTGTTTCTATGAGGAAATGGCTGCCAGCCTTCCTTCCAGAATATGTCTCACCTGCTTTACTAGGCTCCCGGTTATAAGCATTAGGTTGTCTAGTTGCTAGCAGCTGTTTGAGAGACTTGTATGTGAGACTTGTTTGGTACATAAAACTAGGCTAGGATTAGAGCCTATTGTCTTGCTTTTTGGATCATTAGCACAAACACAAATGTGAACAAAAAGCATTCAGTTAGTGAAAAGTAATGTGTCTAATGGAGTAATGGTCATATTACTCCATAAGCATAGTCTTATTTGCATATAGGTAAGGCTCAATCCAGGACCTTAAACTGAAGTGTTTCATAACAGAAATGAATGAAGCTGGTGTAACTTAAGGCTTTTTACAGTGTTTACTGTCTTGAGAAAATTACAAAGAATTTCCTAGACTGTGGGTGTGACCACCAGCAGAGGTGGACATATCCAACAGAAAACTCAAATGCTACTGCTGTCTATGCAATATTTTTTTTTATGTTGTTAAACTTTGTATTTTTTATGAGGTATACAAGCTATATCCTCTTCTGAAAATTAGATAACACACTCAAATCTCTAGAATATCTTCTGTTGAAACTAACCTTAAAAATAAAGCGTTTAAGATTTTTTACACCTATGCCCTGCCAACTCCTTTTTCAAATCTCAGCCAAGGTAGTATTAGGTATCTAAGTTCTTTGTTGTAACATTTAATATTAAGCAAACTGGTAATTGGAGTAACTTGCCATGTGAGCCTGCCTGATTTAAAGACTTGAATCCAAGGTAATATCCTCCTACATTCACATTTCCTGCTTTCATGATTCTGTGCTAATTGCCTCAAAAGTAAATTAGTTGACGTAATGCTCTATTCAGTGGGTGTCTTTTGTTGTTGCTTTGAAAATCTTTGCAGAATCACTTCAGATATGCTTTGGCTTTCAACATAATTCATATCTGTCCTTTTTTAAGTTGCCCTTTTTTTTTTTTTTTGCCTTGTTCATTGCCAACACAGGATTATTGCGCCAGCAAATTTGGAGCTGTAGGTTTCCATGAGTCTTTGAGCCATGAATTGAAGGCTGCTGAAAAGGATGGAATCAAAACAACTTTAGTCTGCCCTTATCTTGTAGATACAGGAATGTTCAGAGGGTGCAGGATCAGGTGAGTAAAATTCTTCTCCTGTCCTGCATTTGTGGTGTCATAAAAGTACTTGAAGGTAGCTAAACTGCTGCTATAAAAAATTAAAATAAGTATTATCTCTGCTTTAATACATGTTAGTATAATCTGTAATTCTGACTCAAAAAAATGACTTTCTGAATTCCATATCTTCTGTCCTTTTGCACTTAGGCAACAAAAGTTTTGAGCTATAGTCTTTGTAACTGAACAGTGAACATAAAAAAAATTGAAATCTTTGTCCCTGCTGAGGCATTCCAAAGACAATGAGTTAATGAACTCTTCACTGAGGTCTGCAGTCCTTTGTGTAATGTATTAATTTGTCTTAATCAAATATTTCAGAAAAGAAATTGAGCCTTTCCTTCCACCGTTGAAACCAGAATACTGCGTGAAGCAGGCTATGAGAGCTATCCTTACAGACCAGCCAATGATCTGCACACCTCGCCTCATGTATATGGTCACCTTCATGAAAAGGTAAGAGCTGAAATGCCCATTTGTTGTCAGTAGAATCTACAGAATACTAGTAAAATCCATGATCATGTCCACTTTCTGGATGTGAACACTCCTCCCCTCACAGGCCATAGGTACTGTATTGTTAGAATTCGTAAGTCTCTTTCTTGGCTTGCATGAGCATAGGTTGCTTACTTGGGAAGCTCCGTAAAACTAAGATCCTGTGTGTTATGCATCCATGTTTTACCCTTCTGGTGTCTTCCATTCTCCTAAAGATTCCTAATTTATTTTCAACAGACTTCTCTTTCCATTTTTTGGGTTCCTCTTTAGTAACGGAGCATGAGGCAGCTTCCAGCAACCGAATGTCTAGCTATTTGTCTCCAGAGCCAGTGTGTAGGGGGCCCTGTCTGCAGTTTCTCTGGGACTTGCACAGATGTGGTAGATAAACTGAAAATCTGAACATTCAGAACCAATTTTCAGAGTCTAAGTTTGGAGGAAGGGCTATTTAAAGGAATTACCTCCTTTGTCCTGTCTAATGCCCTACAGGTTCTGGATGGGAACCCTGTTTAATCTGTAAGCAGGCTGACACTTCAATGATGCAGCAGTTGGCTCAATTCCACTGATGCAACATCACTTGCGTTCTAGTTTATAGAGAACAGCTTCACAGCTGTCTGTGGGGTGTTGGTTTTTTGTTTTTGTTTTTTTAATCTGTAGTGTGTAGGACAAACCTTTAAAATATAGCAATGTCTTACATCCCTTCTGCAAGGGATGGTTGAAACTGAGAACCTTGGTGATTTTTATTCCACATACAAGGCAGAAGTCCTCTTCTGCCCAAGTCTCTCATGGTGGATAGGATCACCAAAGAGTAAAGGAGCCTTCAGCGCTCACAGTCTTTCCGGAAGAGAGTATGTATGTATCTCTTCTGCCAACAAATCAAGGCCACTGTCAGCATCTTTAAGAACTATCTTCTTCAAACAGAAGCTCAGAGGGTGCTTCAGTGCTCTTTGCACAAGCAGTGCCTTATGCAGCAACAGTCACATCAAAGGCCCTTTGGGTTGTCTTGTATTTAACACTTTAGCTTCCAACAGGGAGATCAAAGCTTCTGCATAATCCATGCCCCAGGCAGCAGTACTTAGATCAAAGGCCCTCCAGTGACTACTGCACAAGCAGTACTACTGGCAGAGAGGACACCTGTACCAGTGACATCTACTTAGTGCTTCAGTGGTCATGACTCCTACTGGCTCTATTCTGTGACTGCTTTCCACTGAGTGAGGGTCTGCCACTATTTCTAGGGGCTGAGGAAACCCCATCGTAGTCCTTCACTAGAGCCTGTGAGTATTATACTTGAAATAAAACCGTATATCTTGGATGTGGGAAGGAGAGGAGGACCTATAGCCAGGTATCCATCACATAGTCACCTGTTGGAATTTTATCTTGAGAGGGAAAAAGGAAATTGCTCTCTTTACTTTGGACCTCTCTTTCTGAGGGTGGATGATTGAGTTTAGAATATAAATCACGGTTGTTAGACATCTGGTGATCAACGAATGGCATTAACTAACACTAATCCCACATTAAAGAATATCTTAAAATGTCTGATGACCTCTGATGATGGGGCTTTGCGCAGATTCTTTACTTTTAGTAGGCCTTCTGTGATGCCCTTGCCCTGCCCCCTGCCTCCCTTTAAAACAAGCTATCACAGTGCCTGTGAAGAAGCAGCAGGCAATCTGGTCTAGCTTAGAGGCATGTGAATAAGTAGCTGCTTCTTCCTTTCTGCTTGCCTGTGTGGTTAGGACTCTAGAATTTCAATTTTCTCTGTAAGTATCCCTATGAAATAGAAGCCTCTCCAATAGCTATTATGTAGCTTTTAAGGAGACCAAGTACATAGTGTAAGCAGAGGTTTTGTTTTATGCTCTTTTAACAGTTTTATAACCTCTTTTTCACAGTATTCTGCCCTTTGAAGCAGTTGTATGCATGTACCGGTTTTTGGGAGCAGACAAGTGTATGTACCCTTTCATTGCTCAAAGGAAGCAGGCTACAAACAACAATGAAGCAAAAAATGGAATTTAACACTGTTTTGGATGGACTAACATTTAGAGGTGAATACGATAATGTTACATTACTGAATTCTGAAGTGTGCTTGCATCTGACAGATGCAAATATCAACATCTTACTGTGGCATTCTCTTGGGTCCTAAACCTGTGTCTTGAACTCTCAAAATCAATGGTTTTTTTATATACTGTAAATAAAACTGACTAGAGTACTTGGAAAATGTGATAGGTAAGCAAAGTGAGTTTGCAATGTAGCTGCCACCATTGTCCTTTAGAATATCACTGTGTGTACAGTAAGCCAGTCATACTGCTTTTTGTAGGGATGCACTGTGTGATATCCCTTCCTCATCCTGCCAAGGTTTATAAGAGATGTCTCCAACTAGAAGATGCAGTGTTTCAGAAATTGTCTTTCCCTTTGTTATTTGGGAAGGAGGAGAGAAGGAAATCTTGAGGTTTAAGCTACTTCTCATGACCTTTTAGCAAATTCAAGGACAGTTTCTGAATGCATCTCTTCACTTGTTCACCCAAGCTCTCTAAAGGACACATGGCCAAATTGTGGTGTAATTCTCTTTTGTAGAAATTGTGTGTGTTCTATTTAAACAAAGATAAAAATAAATTTGTAAATCTCTGCCGATTCAAAGGCAAGTGAATGTCTCAAATACTCTCAGAGCAAACTTGTACTGGGCATCTGGTTTTCTAGGAATGCAGTTAGTGATTTAAACTGACTCTTTTCAGGTCACTTGATTTTAAATATGCTCTATTTCCCTCTATATGTCAGAGTCCTATCTAATATTATGGACTATATGTTTCTTTTCTTCCTCCTCATTCTTACTTCCAACAGAGTTTTCCCACCCCCCGAGGAAGCTGTTGTATTAAATTTCTGTAACTGGACTTGTGCCTAAAAGACAAAGCAACTCAGCTGAGATACAAACTGTTTATGTAAGTGCTGGTCATATGCCAATTATTAGCAAATTAAAAATAGAATAATGCCTGATGCAATTCTACATGTGGAATATGGAAGGGTGTAAAGATTTTTTTTTTTTTTGAGTTGTACTCACATTGTGTAACAGCAGATGACATTTTTACAGTATTTTTTTGTAAAGCGAACAATTTTGTGCCTTGAATGATTTGGTAATCTGTGTTAGTGAAGCATTGTAAAAGTGAACTTCTACCTCTGTATCTTAATGTATACCATCCACTTGTAAACTACTTTCAGACAAATTGTGATTACTTTTTTAGAATGTCTTGTTAAATAGTGACCAATGCCTGTGGTTATTAAAGTGAGCCACTTTTTCCTTAGAACACTGATTGCAATGCTTCCTTGAAAGACTAAACTAGTGCAAACTACCTGTGCATGTTCCATAGCTCTTTAGTATCAACACAGTTCAAATATTTTTTGCCCGGTTTCTGTACCCACTTTGTCAGCTACATGGTTTACAATGTAATTTCTTAAGTTTATCAGTAAGTACTCTGAAATTAGGCTTTAGGAGCAGACAGTTTTCTCTATTTTCTAAACTCATTGATGAAGTAAGAATATCGGTTTTGGTTTTCTATGGAGCTTCATTTAGATCTACATGAAAATGACCTGGTGTGGATGCAGTTTTAATGAATTAAAAAGTAAATGTAGTTTCAGTACAGATGCAGTTATTACTACATATATACACACATGCAAAAAAAAGCAGTATCTGTGTGGAGAAGAGTGTTAACTAAGCGTGTTTAGAAATTAGTCTAAAGTAGAAGAAACTGTTTACATTAATCTTTACTCCAAATTCCACGTTCTTTTGAAAAAACCTCTTAATTACTTCCCCGGGGCTAAATGAACTTCCATATTCTTACAGCAATGTCACTAAAAGCAAGTACAGCAAATTTCATTCTATTCCATAGCATTATTTTAATGTACATTTGTTTTTCTAAGATGTCTCTATATTGCTGTCTCAGACTAAGAAGCAACTTTTAAAATTTTATATATTGATATTCAAGACACATTAACCTGACAGAAGAGGAAAAATAAGAAGCTTACCAGCAATATCAAGTTTCTATAAAGCATCATGCTAATTTACAATGATGTAGACTTACTTAAAAAGCAAGTTTCAGGGCTTGTAGAGTTCTAATTTAATTATTGAATATATTGTCATCCTGGTTTCTCTGAATTTTACAACCATTCGAGAAATCGTGGTCCAACTCAGTTCTTGAACTGTGTGGCTGAGGGGTGGCTCGTGACTGCTGCACTCTGTGAGCGTGTTTCTAAAACTTGTTCCAACCTTTAAATTTCATTTGCTATTCAAAAGTCAATTAGATACATATAGAGAAAGGGGTTACCAGATGCCTTGTAGATTTGGTGAGAATTGCTTATGTGCTTGTGGGGAGGATCCTTGAGGCTGTTTTTTGTTGACTTGATGGCTTCCCAGTTGCATGGGTGGCTCCTACAAAGCAGGAAGAGAAGACTTGTGACTGAGGATGAAGTGGAAACTGGGGTTTCCCCTTTTAGATTACCCTAAACTGCTGCAAGTACCACAGGATGCTGAGAGTTTTTCCTTTAACACTATGATCAGAAGCTGTGAGAATTACTGTGTCTCTTCAGGGTTGTCTACATGCCAATTGACTGATAGACTGCATTATGTCAGCACAAAGCCAGTGCAACTAGTAACTTGGTGTAGGAACGTTTCCTTTCATTTTGTAGGATGGTGCTGCAAAAGTTTACTGTTACACCCAGATGAGCCAATATGGGTGCACCTCTTGGTATCTTCCTGTTTTTGTCTTGCTGTGACAGGCAGATGGGATAGGCAGCTGATGGAAGTTATCTCAGAAAACTCCTATCTTAATAGTGCTAAGCTTGTAGTTGTGTAAACGAGGTGTTTGAATATCACTCTATAGCACTCTACTTCCCAGTAAGCAGGACAAATCACACCCTTATCTTGGCACATCTACAGTGGTGCTCTGGGATTAAGAGTCAGGGGAGAGAAATCCACACTACCTGATTTTAAGGACTTGGGATTTTTTAGCATGTTTTTGTTGTATTCCTGTCTGGTGATCAGATACTTTCACAACACAGGAGCTGGCTGCTTTCGCACTACAGAAGATGTCTGGATGACTACTTCAGACATTATTATCTGTGCTTGGTCAGAGGAGTGGTACCTTATGGGTTTGTATGTGTTCTGTTCAAACCAAAGCTCAGAAGCAGTGAGGTAACTTTTCCTTCTCTGAGAAATAAACTTCCTCACATTTGTGCAATGGTAAGTATATGTGCATAGACAGGTACTGCAATATAACTGGTATGTCAGAAGCGTGTTCACAGCTAGGCTTACCTTGTGGTAGCTTAGTCCTGGGTTTACATTTTGATAATTTATCTGTGCATTTCCCATGTAAATGTCTACACAAACAGTTCTTTAGCACCAGGCTCTTTCTGGTGCTGCCCAGAGACAAGGCAAGAGGCAATGGGCACAAACTGAAACACAGGATGTTACTTCTGAACATTGGGAAACACTTTTTCAGTGTGAAGGTGACCAAGCACTGGCACAGGTTGCCCAGGGGGGCTGTGGAGTCTCCATGGAGGTATCCAAAAGTCATCTGGACGTGGTCCTGGGCAACCAGCTCTGGGTGGCACTGCTTCAGCAGGGGATGTTGGACAAGATGACTTCCAGAGGTGTCTTCCAGCCTCAGCTGTTCTGTAATTCTTCTAGAAAAAAAGGGAGCCTGGTTTCTGGTTAGTAGACATGGTATGAACATGAATTAACAGTTGTTATGAGCTTGACCATGTAGGAAGGAAATGTAGAGTAATCTGAATTCCCATCTCCTATACCTACCTCTTATATGGACAGTCTCAATGGGCAATAAATAGAGCCTGGATTAAGCTTGTTAACTTTATATAGCTAAATAGGAACCTGTAAACAAAAACTTTCCCTCCATCCATGTGACAAGGTGTCTGGGGAAGCAAACGTATCTCTGTAAATCTGAGCTGTTCTCCAAGTGAGTATTCCTTCTCTTCCATTGCCTAGTCTTTAAAAGGAATCTGGGTTTGCCAGGTTTCTAAACTGAGTTGTACCCATTAAGTAATCGGAGTGAGAGAAGACAAGTTTGGCCTTCAAGTATCTTTGCTTTGGTGTTAGTAGTTTCTCATATCATGTACTTGTTGGTTATTTTATATATTAATTCAGTTGCAGCTGGGAGCACACAAGCTAGATACCCAATATAGTGCAAATTGTTCTTTCCCCCACGCCCCGTTAGGCCTGTTTGGGTGGTGTATGTAAAGCCGTTAACGCACACTAAGTGCATACTTTTAACTTACGTCATACTGACTTGTGCAGAGTACCTCTTAGTGAGGTAAGCTAGCAAGGAACAATACCATTTTACTTCATAATGAATAAATAATTTAGGAGCAATCATTTTTCTTTACATTCAAACACCATCATTGTCTGTCATAACTTTTGTGTACAGAGAAAATCTGACGAGCCTTGTCTTCAAGAGCAACTTGGGGAAAGTCGGAGGAATCAAAGCTGTGTAGCAAATGCACATAACTTAAAGGATTAAGCCACAGACCACTGTGGTTCTAAATGTGTGCATCTGTGCAAGAGTTTAACACATATAAAAGAATTAACTTAACCTCTGAATTTGATTCCTAATTTTTCTCTATGTTTCTGAGTAGACAAGTCCTAAGCATCTGTTCAACAAAATCAGATGATCGTAACACAAGTGGTAGTCCAGTAAGTTATTTAGCCTCAGAGTGTGTTGCTGTCCATTAATACTTTAAACCCAAGTTTTCCAACTTTGGGGTTCTGCTCGCTTTTCCATTGCTGCCAAGTTCATACCCCATGAACAGGAAATAAAACTGTCACAGAGCTAAGGTCTTCTAACAGCCCCTGAAGCAGGGAGTTAGGCAGAACTGGTTGATGAGGGCACCTGATTTAAGGCTAACTTTGTCATGAAGCTCCTAACCCTAAATTCCAGGTGTTTAGTCACACAGCTTCTCCCCTCCCTTGCAAAAAAAGCTGGGAAGTCTAGGGACAGTCCCCAGCAAAGTGTATGTTTTATGTAGTTACATAAAATCCAAAAACCTGGTATCATAAGTAGCCTGTCATGTTTCAGCCTGGCCATTAAATGCTGATGTGTGTAATGACAGAAAGTATGGCTTTATTGTGCCATCAAAGAAAAGAAGAAATTCAGACTAACTTTATTTAAACATAGTTTAAATGGACAAGCCAAATGTTTAAAATAACTTTAGAAGTAACATTCCAGTTTACTTACTTATCTATCTGCTTAATGCTGACAATACACAAACAATTCATTTCTTCCACAAAAAAAAAAAAAAGCTTTTGAGCTAAATGATGAATGTGCAGAAGCCAGGATCAGATGTTTGTGTGTGAGAGTGTGTGCGTGTGCGTAAGTTAAATTGGCAGGATGTTTGTTTCCCTTTTCCTAAGCAGGGCAATTGTAGCTCTTAGCCAAGCAGACGCAATGTATTTTGAAAAAATGAAACCTTTAAACACATCTCTGTCTGTACAGACTGACCAATCTGCCTTCAAAATATTAGCCTGTTCTGACTGAAAACATTACAGCAAACAGGGTGCCTGAGGCAGTGTATATGGCACTAGGGTAACTGGAGCCTTTCTTTCCCAATCCAATTATCCATAAAAGCTCCTGTGGCAGTGAGACATAGGGACTAGTCAGAGCTGAGCCACTAGGAAAGCTAATAGCTGTATCCAGGGACAGATTTTTAGCAGGAGAGGAAGAATGGGGTGCTAAGATGGCTCTAGGGATCTCCCCTCCATACCCGACACTAGCAGCTTCTGTTGCAGAGTGTGTGCATGCAGAGCATGTGCATGCACAGCATCCCACTCGTGTGCTGACATCCAGCCCTCCCTTCTCATCGCAGCTGCAGGCAGCTATGGTCCTGAGCTCATCTGCTAGGGTTCATCGACACATGTCCCTCCTCAGAAGTTATTCTGGAATAACTGTGCTTAAGTGTGTGCCTGTGTTTGTGCATGTGTGCATATCCTTATATTTTGCAATAAGCATAAACTTTTTCAGCCTAACTTAAACAAGAACAAGGCTCCGCAGTGAGAAGTTCTGTGCTCTGGGACTTATTCAGGACTAGCCAGCATGTTTTGAATGCCTGTCGTACTCTCGTCTACATCAACTGTCATGTCTAAACATGGCCTTAGAAGATAAATACAAACCTTCATTGGGGCTCATCCACTTAAGCTATGGATAAGCAAAGTTAGCTTAAACTTGCTCTATTTTCTTAACAGACAAGAACATTTTGATCCACTGTTTAGAAGAAAAGTTACTCAATACAAGTTAGGTCT